TGTTTATTGAAGCTTTTATCTATAATAGTAAAAAATTAGGAACAACCACAAATTTGAAAATAGAGAATTGGTTAAATTGTGGGAATTATGAAGCAATGAAAAGCACGATAGAGGAAAATGTTATCTCATTTTTAAAACCAAATGAATTCTTATGTGAAATCCTAATATGGAAAGATCATGGAAGATAACCTTGGCTCAGACAACTCAATGTTTCTGACATCACTGCCTAAACACAGTTCAGAGTTCACAAACTACTGCTAAAGAAGAATATTAATGGATGTGGGATTTTGAAAAATAGGTTGCTATAAAGTCCTACAAAGAATATCAGAAGACCATTTTAGCTTAAATTATTTAACAAATTGTTAACAGTGCTTGTCTCTGAATAATGAATTATAGCTCATTTGTGTCTCTTGCTTTTTTATAGTTTGCAAGTTTTTAAAATTAAAAAACACATAACTTTGTAATTATGGAAAAAAGTTATTTCAAGTAACACATGCAATTTAGTATTTTTTCCCAAAGTCCAGTACTGATTAAAGTGTAATATTCCCACATTTCCCTTGATAATCATTCCTGCTAAGTGCTTTTCCAAAAGCAGAGAAGAAAATATCTTCAGTGTCTCTGTGGTGCTAGTTCTGAGCAATCTCCTCTCCTGATCAATTTATGTAGTCTAGAGAAATGCTTTCCAACACCATGTTCTAATAGACATGATCATGAGTATACAGAACTGTAATTTTGAAATTTTGAAAGAGTACATTATAAAGAAAAATCATCCTCTAAGTGAAACTCTTACAACAAAATTAGCTGATAGAAATATTTGGTTAAGCAAATGCTCTCTGGGTTTGCCAAATGGAAGGTTCTCTTTTCCAGTATCAGTTGTGGTGCTTTAATGTGTTTCCCCCTAAAATAAATAAGTGTTTTGTTTGTTGCTGTTATTTTTTGTGTGAAGAACTGGGGTGCAGGCCAGAGGTGTAAAGGGTGAGAAGATTGACCAGAGACAGAGTGGGGAGCCTTAGAAAAGGCAGATCTACTGAAATACACTGCTGAGGGGAGCAGCGGGCAAGACAGGAGAGATCTGCTGCGCCTTGTGGGTTAGCTCCCTGCTGGGATCGCACTCAGACCTTAGCGGTGATAGTGCTGAGACTTAACCCCTGTGCCACCAGGGAGGCCTAAGTTTTGTGACTTTTTTTTAACGGAATCTCAGTTATAAGCAACCCTACACTTACACATGCCTTTTTGGCATGTGTGGGAGAAGTTGGCTTAAAGGGATTCTTGTAGGTTAGCCACTGCCATCATCATGTATTTCTAGTCCACAAAGGGCCACAACCAGAGAGTGTCTCCTCATGCCCACTTGAAAGGTCCCCTTTTGGTAGATCCTCCCAATTTCAACCAGTGTAGGGCTGTTTTGCAAGTGTTGTGTCAATGTTCTCCTAAATGTGTTCCTTTTCAAGGCTGCCTCTGTGCTCCACTATTATTTACAAAATAATTTTCATTAAATAGATTCATGATTTTGCCCTAGATTTTCAACATTTTTTGGGTATCATGCTATGCAAGGAAAACATATCATTTGCCACAGGTAGATAAAATTAGAACAAAGGAAAGTTATCAAATTTTTGTTAAGTGATGTTACCTACTTTGCTATTACCTAAAAAAGCTCTGGTGTTAGTGCTTATCTCCTGAAAAAAAAAAATAAGAGATTAAACAGTGTTATAGGAATATTAGGGGCAGTACACTTATAACTTAAGACTTTCTACTAGACAGACCCAGAAAAATTGAAAGAGTTATAAGGGAATGATTTTTGATGCTGTAATTCAGTGATATTCTCAATATCAGGCTTGTGGACCACCCAGCACCCCCCTCCCCTCCTTGCACTTCTAGTAGATTTTGTCTCCTTCTTTGGGAATTATTGTTCTAGAATGATGCTTTGACCATATGAAGTTTCTAACTCATCTTCCTGCCTTGTTTCTTCCTTTCAAAGAGTCTCTTTGTAAAGGGACTCTACCCTCTCTCAGGAGCTCCGCTTCAGCTTATTCACTCTTAGCTACCAGTTAAGTTCTCATGCTCAAGGGAAATAATGGGATTCAGCATCTTGTGTGTCTCTGTGATACTTTTATTTTTTAGCTTTCCTTGAGACAACAGCCAGGTGCTTTGCTTGCCACTATACATGCTATATTTTTGAAGTACTAAATAAATAATAAATAATGCCAAGTCTTACTTTACTACAATTATGTGCTGACAATTTAGTATCTGCATGGGTACCAGATGATGTCATTGCTGTGAGCTTTAAGACTTGCTTTATTACAGCCATGCGAGCATTATTTTTAGCACAGCAGGTGTCAAAAAGGTTTATTTTGAAAGAAAGAAAACATAAAAATGAATTATTTATGTGAGTTAAATCAAAATGTACTTGATATAAATGTTTAATCAGTTTTTCTCCAACTTCTTTCCATATGCTCTGCCCTGCTCGATGGTGCAGTTCTAATGGAATTACTAAATATATCTTAATAGCTCAGCACACAGCATTATGCAATGGTACTTACACAAGAGGAATTTTTCAACTTATATTAAACAGGTCAAATGATAAAAACTCTGTAGAATGCTCACTGTTTTTACAGAAGATTATTATTCAATTGGCATAGAAAAATTCAGTAAGTTTGACACTTAAAATGTGCTACGTTGACCATATTTAAAGTTTCTTATTCCTTAAAAAAGATGAGAAGATTAGAAAATAACTTTAATTTTGACTGTAATTGCAAATGTTTTTTTTTTCCCCGCTTTCATAAGTAATCAGCAGATTTGCTGTTACTCCTGGAATATAAATGTTACAGAATTAAAATAAGGATTCCAAGAAAGACTACACCGTGACTAAAGGATAATTTTTATATTATGAGAACTTCTTTTTTCTTGTATTATGAGAACATGAAGTCAGGAGCAATATGCCAACTTCTCAACTGACCTTCAACTAGTTGCATCCATATTTCTGTTCTTTTAATTGCTTGTTCCTTTGAAGCAATAATGTCCAACTCCTTATTTTTATTATATGCTACTCTTTTAGCTAAATCAATGTCTGCAGAAAACTCCTTATTGCTTTTATATGCAGAAGCTTCAACTCAGAATCTCACCATTTTTAAGGCCATATTCTAAGGGTGAATAACAAAAATCAAAGGTGATTATTCAAGTCAGACAATGATTTTATAAGATAGTTCATATAACAGAGCTAATATGGTAATAATAACCAAAATTGCAATGCTAGTGAATGTTTATAGAGGACTTTCCATGTTCCAGGAAATTCTTCAACATTCTCTACCTTCTGTACAAGATTTTCTCCACAGAACCCTGTATGGTAGGCATCAACCATAATCCTATTTAAAAAAAAAGATAGTGGGAATACTAAAAAAAGCCATTAATTTATATTTAAGAAAGAAAGATATATTAGAAATACCAGTTGAGTGATCAAAGGAAGTCCACCAGCAGTTTTGTTTTGTTTTTTTTTTTCAATCTGCACACTCTTAGGATAACAATACCGCAAAATCTTGCTTTGAAAATTTTCCAAAACATGTATAGAAAACTTATCACTCAAGTACTGTCATTTTCATTGGAATAGTGAGATTCCTTTATTCCTCTAATTTCAAACATAACTTGTTCTACCATGGTGCTAAGAATTTTAAGTAAGCTGTTACATTAAATTGAAGCAAAACAAAGAAAAGTCATATTCCATCTCTGTTTTGTGGCTTATAATATCAACCTCATTATATGTTCTCTTGTGAGAATACAGACACTTGTTCATTGCTCAGTGTCCCAGGCAATAAAAGATCATGTACCCAATCACTCTTTGCATTGCTGTCTAAACTGTTACTTTAACCATATATAGTTTACTATTTTACCTCTGACGTGATTCAGAATTTAATAAAAATGAAAAACTTGTCTGCTAGAAGTGGCTCCAGGTTCTCTGAAGTTCAAAGCACAGAATATTTTATTCAACAGAGCCCACAGTCCTTAGAAAGTAAGATATTTGACAACAAGCCTACATAAAAGATTTAAATAAAACCACTGGGACAGAATCTCCAAGTTCTTTCAACTGTGAAAAGAGGTAGTTAGCTATTTTTCCAACTCTGAAGAAACTCTGAAAACATTAAAATGTATTATATTCTTATTTTAAAAATAACAGTTGAGTTTACAAGATTGATGATTACTTGGATTTGAGGGTCAATAGATGAACAAATAATTAAGACTTGAGCAAATAATTCCAGTAGTGACAGCTATCTCTGTACATGCCTATATGGGCCCACAGTAGATGTAATTCAGAGAAGCACAGCTTACATGGTTAAAGGGCTGGAGTCTTTCTTGACATAATAGATTAGAATGTTTATAAACTTGCAGTATAGAAAGCTAAAGGTGAACGGAATGAATAAAAGATCATAAATAGAGAATGTAGTTTTGATAGGCAAAGAAGTTTTTGCTAAATTCTGGAGTACTGACGGTAGAAGAAACTCCCTTAAGTCTGAAAAAAAAATACATTTGAAAAAAATCAGAAATGATAAGATAAATTACAGTGCTAATATAGCCAACAAATATATTTAAGGTCTATATTATTTGAGAGCATTTAAGGAAAAGCAAATGACTCCAAAAGGGTTAAATGGAAATATCTATCATCCATCTGAGCACACTTTGAAGAAGATGTAGGGATATTTCCCTACTTTTCTACAATTAACTTCATAAAGCATCAACATGTTTTACCATGCAGCTATGAATATCACTAAACCCAAGAAATACAGAACTTAATTTCATAAAGGGGAACTTACAATAGACAGAATAAACTATGAGAGACAAAGTCTTTGCTCTGTTTTTGTGTATTGATAATTTCCAACAAGCTGATGATGTTTCCCCCTGCCTTCCTGGCACCACAGGCATGGCATAAGCCTTTTGTACTTATGCCAGGCTGGGTGTGGTCAAGGTGGGCTTTGTTAGCAGAATCCAAGGAAGAATGTGTTTACTTGGAACATTCTAAACAGTTTTGAGCAGGAAGGCTTGTTCTAGACTTCCCTGTTTCTTATTTAAATCCCTTTCCTTTTCTCTCTGGAATAGAAATTGCAGTAATAACGGTAAGGAGTGACTAAAGGTAGGAAGAGCTGAGAGCTTATTATGAGTGGAACATGATGTTAGGATCTTGCAAACATCATTTCTTTTTGTGCACTGAACACAAGTAAAGAACATCTCCTTTTTGTGTTAAGTATCTATCCTCCTCTTCTTCTGGTAACAGCACCACACCAGACCCAGTGCTTTCTACTCTGTGTTTACATAAGCCCAACCTCCTGGCTTCATGTGTAAGATGTCAACCATTCACAGCTAGGTGGTATTCCATTCTTCTGAGCATGGGGACAGGTTCAAGGACAGGAAAATGTTCCAGTTCAATGTCATGAAAATTTTTCAGAGGAATTTCAATGAAATAATTGGAAAAGAGAAACTTTCTTTTTATTGGGGTCACTATGTGTAGGGTGAACTAAATCTGGAAAGGCAGAGCTTAGAGTTTGCAAGAGAAAGAACAACAGAAAGAACGAGTAAATAGTGGAGGTGTTTGCATGCGCGCACGCGCGTGTGTGTGTGTGTGTGTGTGTGTGAGAGAGAGAGAGAGAGAGAGAGAGAGAGAGAGACTGAGTCTCAATTTCAGTTCCTACATCCAGACAGCATTGAAATTTTCTGGGATGTCAGCCACTGAATTTTTGTTTCTGTTTTCTTAAGCACATTTGAGTTGAGTGTCTGTTACTTGCATAGTTCTGATCTTTTTTTTTAAACTTTATGAAGACTGAATTATCACCATTTTACAGATGAAAGAACTGAGTCTCAGAAAGATTCACGCAAGAGCTCATTATTCTACCTGATATCATCTGACACTTTTAGAAATCTTATTCCAACTCTTCTCAGATCTTGATTTTCAATTTTTATATTGAAATATGCTTATTCATCCTTATATCTAAAGTATTTTATAATTAAAAATATTTTATAATTTTATAAATATTTTATAATTGATTAATAAAGAGTTTTTAGATTCTACAAGCAAGAGACTAAAATCATGGTCTCAATATTATCTCTCAAAGGGTTTCATTGTTCATTGTCCTGACTCACCTAGGCAGAAATCCACCGAAAAATGGTTTGCATTCACAATTTCTTCATCTCATGGTTTGTAGAACATTTGTAAATGAGATGTGAATATTTATAGACATTTGTGACATTACTTCTGCATTTAGAAGCTTTTATACCAAATTATAGATTCATGTAAAGGTTATAAATTAGAAGCTTTACAGAAAATGTCTAAATATTTATGAATTTAACTACATTTAGGAATAAATTTGCAAATTTTACATTTGCTATTTTTTCACATTTATGAGCAAATATGAGTTTTCTAATAATCTATCAAAATGAGTCGGCACTCAGAAAAGCACAAACCCCAGATGGAAATGTTGATTTGGTTTTCTCTGGGTGTCTCCCTCCCCCTCTGTCTCTGTCTCTGTCTCTCTCCTCTCCTCTCACCCCCATTCCTCTCTCCACCAGCAATAAAATATGCAAATTCCACCAAAGAGATTTCATTGCTTCTTACAACCCCTGGTATTTATGAGTTGTCAATCATATTATCTCTTATTTTTAACTCTCTAATCAGTCATCCATCAACCATCAGAATCCAGGAAAAACATATACACACTGGGACTCTAAAAGCATCATTTAAGTTATGCTATGGTAACTGAAGCCTCAGGCAAAGCCACTAATTCTTATTAACCCCACCTCTGGGGAAGTGAACAGAAATAGAAATGTCAAAGCTTTCTACTTGTTCACATTTCACCATTGGGAGTGAAGGAAGAGAAGAGACCATTGCATTTTCTGGTGGTTCAAGTTAGACTGTCCTCTATCCAATTGCCCTGCAGTATTGAGAGACCAGTGGAGCTGGTCAAACAGCACCTAGGTCACTCGACACAAGACCTGCACATACCCAGAGAGCTTTTCCTGCCCCCTTCCACCCTGGTCACCATTATCACTGAAACTGCTCATCACAAATAGCCACACCAACACTGAAATCTCAACTATGCCTCTTGTTGTCTGAGCCTTACCTACAAGTCCACTGACTCTTGAGCTTTTCTTTGACCTTCCTGAAATGTTCAATTAATGGAGACCACTATCTCATCACTGTCCTCAATCTGTCATATGATCACTTTCCTCTGTACTCATTTCCTTTCCATGCAAGCAGTGTTAATTCCCTTCACTCTCCTTCCATTTTCCAAAAGGCATAGGTCCAATCTTGGTTAAATCCAACTACTTTTGTCCCTGCAAATTCATATTGTTTAAATTGACTAAATTAATTAATTTATTTTTAAAATTCTGGTAACATTACCTCCAATCAAGTGTCATCACTGTAGTGCACCCATAGTCTTCCTCTATAATCCATTGTGTTTCCTTCCCTCTTTGTTGTTACTCTTCCCCACCCTTCCATACTCTGGATCCTTCTATTCCACAGTCAGTTAGATTTCAAGCTTGTTTTTTTTAACCCTTAGTTTGGTTTCTCCATATTCCACATATTAGCTATGTCACATGGTATTTATCTTTCTCCTTCTGACATATTTCACTTAGCATTATCCCTTTAAGCTTTATCCATATCACTGAAAAGGACATGAGTTTATCTTTTTTATTGCTCAGTAATATCCCATTTCATATATATATCACATCCTCTTGATCCACTCAATTCATTTTAGGCACATAAGCTATTTCCATAATTTGGTTAATGTAAATAGAGCTGCAATAAATATGGGAGTACATGTTTCTTTTTAAATTAGTATTTCTGAATTTTTCATAAACCCAAATACTTAATCAAGTTGCTCAACATTATAAAAACTAACAAACTATTAGGCTAACTTTAATTTCAAAATAAAAATCAAATTGTTACTCAGAAGTGCTGACTCATGCCATCAACTACAGAGCTGCCATCCTTCCCTTGTCATAATGAACTAGTTTAAGTAACTTGAGCCAAAGTTCCATTGAATGGAGATATGGCTTAATAGGGTTGGGTCAAGGATTGGCAAGACATCCAACAATAATGGATTGAGTACTGGAGAGACTTCATGTGTTTTCTCACTTATTTAAAAGAGCAACTAGAACTTCATTTTCATGTTCTCTCCATTTTTATGATATGAACCGCAGGTGTAAAGTTTAGACTGTTCCAGTCACTTTCCTGTCATTAAGAGAGTAAGTCTACCTATGCCTGATGCTAACATCAAGGATGATAAACATTTGAAATGAAAGAATTAGATCCTTCATGATATTTTTGAGTTGCTGAATAATTCAATGATGAGGTTCACCCTACCTCCATACTTTGCATTAGGAAATAAATGCCTTTATTGTTTAAGCTGGTAGGAATTGGGTTTTCTTTCCCTTGCTATAAATAAGACTTCCTTATTATGATCACTTTATAGCTGTCAAAAAATTGCTTTTACGATTTCTTATTTCATCAAACAGGTACATGAAAGATTGTTGAATAAATGCTGCTGAGTACTGTTAAATGACTCCTTAATAGTTCACCCCAGGCTCCAGGGTGCTGTGGTGAGTCTGGTCAGAAGAAGTATGTGCAAGTGGCATATGGGAAGTGACTGAGTATATGTATTTTTAAGTAGCACTCAGCCTCAAAATTTTTTTCTTCATATCTTGAGTTAAAGTGGTTTATAAAACTGCCCCCTTCATCTGAGAAGGATAATGCCATTCTTTAGTTGAAGTTACAACAATGTAGAGCACAAAGCAGAAGAGACCCATGCTTACTTATTGTACTTATATAAGTTTGAATATTTGCTATAGACATGAAAAGAAAAAAGAGCAAAAGCCTACATAATAATAACTACCATACTTAAGATCTATTACATGGTAGGCATTGTGCAATTTACCTGAGTTACTCTGATACTCTTAGCAGTTCTACAATAGACAGATGGTGAAAACTGAGAGTGATCAATGTTAAATGACATTGATCAAGGTCACATGAGTGGTAGTGAGTTGAACGGTGACCCCATAAAGGTATGTCTGTGTCCTAATTCTCAGAACCTGTAAATATGATCTTATTTGAAAAAAGGGTCTTTGCAGGTGTAGTTAAGTTAAACATCTGATGATCAGATCATTCAGGATTCAAGATTCCTAAATCTAATGGCAGGTATCCTTATAACAGAAAGATAGAGGAAGATTAGAGACACAGACACAGAGGAAAAGGTCATGTGAAGATGGAGGCAGACATTCAAGTGATGATTCTATAAGCCAAGGAATACCAAAGATCGCTGGCAGCCATCAGAAGCTAGGAGAGAGACAGGGAACAGATGTCTTCAGAAGGAATCAATCCTGCCAAAACCTTGATTTTGGACTTGTAGCCTGCAGAACTGTGAAAGAATAGATTTTTGTTGTTTTAAGCCACCTGGTTGGTGGCAATTTGTTATAGCAGCTCTGAAAAATTAATAAAAGCTGTAATTCAAACCCAGGACTGTCTGGCTCTTTAGAGTACATGCTTAGAACAAAATACCACATTGAATAAAATCTACTTAAAAACTGGACTTTAGATGAATGCAGATGAGAGAATTAAGCACTCAGTGAAACTATCAATATATAGAAGCTCTACAAAAGAAGTAAATGACTTCCGATGTAAACTAGTCTCAGGCAGAAATATGGGCAAACCTTTACTACAGAACAAGAATAACACAATAGATAATGACCATAAGGTTTTCACAAATTGCTAGTCAAAAGAAGTAAAAAAGAAATTGCAATTTAGTGCCACGAAAGCATTTCCACTACATTATTACTAAGATGTCTGTTTGTTATTCGTGAGTAAGTAGGTATAGACAGACACAAGTATGCTTAGCTAGTTAATATTAGAACATTAATTCTAGGAATTTTTCAGCTAATATTTTGGTTGTATTTGCAAAGTTCTGAATGTAAATGTTTGTTGTTCAGAAAGGGATTTCACAGGTATTGAGAGTCTTCGATATCAGAGACTTATCAGCTATTTCAATCTTTGTAGCCAACAAATACTGCTAATCATGATATACAGCAGTACAGTCAGAAGCGCGGGAGGGTGAGAGAATTCAGAAGGACCGAAGTACACTGCTTCTGCGCGCCATGTGGGATCTTTGTAGCGCAACAACCACTACTGCTTTTATTTTTGAAAATGAAAAAGTTGGGCAGAACCACGGCTAGTAGGGCACTTTTCAACAAATTCCAAATACATGTGCCAGGACAGACAGCTGAACAAGGTGTTCAGATCAGCTCCACTTTGTTCCTTGTCTGCATCGAACTGCTTGTGCAGAGTGGGCGCTGCCCAGCTGTCCAGCTGCCCACGATGGCCCAAAGCTGAAGCCCACAGAAGGTTTGGGAATGACAGTATGTGTGCACTATAGTTTGAACTTACTTTGCCCTGATGCTAAATTCTGTATTTTCAATACTACATGAAGACATCTTAAGCTGCTTCTGATTTTACTGCAAAAAGCTATCCAAACTGCTAAATGGAATGGACAACTGCAGTTAAATGCTGGGGCCGGTCAAGCCAGCAACCCTGAGAGATGGTATCAAAAGTCAGACTCAGCATCCCGAGCTGGGCAGGTGGTATAACTTAGAGGGCCCTGTTCAAAATAAAGTTGTAGGGCCCTGGTTAAAAATCATTAAGATTGTGTCAGGGTGGGGTCCTGTGGGACTGGCCAGGGAGTCCCCTGGCCTTACAGTGAAGCTGGCCTTACAGTGGACCACATGAAGTCAACAACTGACTTGTAGAGTAATTATCAAAAGGACCTTGATAGAGAAGATTTCCTGCGTAGGGCGGCACATTCTCTTCTGGAACTCATGCGGGTTCCAGCAGCTACAAATAAGAAAGTGGGTCGAATAATACTTCCCCAAACAGGAAGAATTTTGAACATCCTGATCATTCTTATACAAGTAGGCTAATATATGTCAAGGAGTGGATCTCTGTATTATCTTAAGGTTAGGGACTAGAAATTTAAGTGCTTCAATGAAAGTATTTTTATTGCAGTGGTCTCTTACTCAATTAGGTAAGAAGAACCTGGGTTGATTCATGAGAGTATTTGAGCCAAACTAGTATCAGCAAAAACAAGACCTCAGATGTGAAGGGTTGTGGAATAGCAAAGAGAATTCTTTCTGCCTCAGGGGAGGTCACAATCTCTGTTTAAATACACCTTTTGAAGTCTCAGAAATGCTGCATTTTAGTCTCTGTAAGATACTTGCTATATTTGAATGACTTTTGAGATATGTCTTTTCCAAAGTGTGTACAACAGAAAACTATTTTGAAAGAGGCTTAAAGGTAAACGTGAAATATAGTTTTACCGTCAAATAAGTTAGAACTTTGTGTTAAACAGAATGTTTTACTACAGGACTTTTCTGAGTCTTTCCAAGGCTCCTGTGCTGGAGAGGGGTAAGGTGGGCGACTTCCACAAAGACCATCTTTCGGGACTGGAACACTTTATGAAACACTTCCTTCTGTCAAACTGCTTCGTAGGCAGCAAGCCAAAGAGGGTATTTTCAAGCTCCATAAGTCCAGGCACACTTGTTTAAGAGCTTGCTTACCTAGGAACTTCTGATTTGGCCATTCTTAGCTCATTACTTCCCCTCCCCAAGTCCCAGGTGGAGGCTGGTACACCTGTTCTCTCCGTGTCCTGGCATTCGGGGCTCAGTTTTCACCTGACGTGCAGATTATGACTGTGAAGATCGAAAAACATTCTCAGCTAATCTTAGCTGTGGGGTCAATACTGTGGTGGGGATCTTTTTGCAGTTTATGCAGACGTGCACTGCTCAAAGATCCATCTAACACTCAAAATGAGGCTCCCTGAGTCTACGCCCCAGAACACACCATCACCGCCAGAGCTGGCACAGTGCCTGGCTGTTCTTGTGTGGCCCAAGGCGAGTTGCTGCATTCGCTGAGACAAGTGGCTGCTGTGTTCTTCCTAATTTTAAATACGCCCACAGAGCAAAGAGAGACTCACAGTTTGATAGATAACTATTTAGTTTGCGTCAAGAGTAACTGAGTTTTCCATTTCACTACACTTGAAAAACCCACCAGGCTGTGAGAGCAGCAATGAGCGAGCGCCAAGGCAGCCCACGTTACCTGGAGCTCTGAGGCTGGGCTTGGTCCTGTGGGAAGGAAAGGCGGAAGAGGAGGGAGGCCCAGCTCTGATGCTCACGTCCCTGGGGGCCAGGAATAAGGTCGATAACCACCAGCGTTCGCTACAATGGGACTAATAACCTCGGCTCTGTGTGTGTTTGTAGAAAGAGAAATTGAAAACGTAACTGTATACTAATAGTTACTAATATCTGGTCCATAATAAAAGAATAATAAAAAATGTAACACACGAGGTTCAAATTAATTTTCATTTCATTTTTTTAAAGCAGTGTCACTTTATGGGGAGGGAGGACAGGAATCCACATTATAATAATGCACTCATACAATTTAATTGGCAGCAAAAAGGGGTTAAGATAACAAAACTCTTGACAAAATTGGAGAGATTAGCCCACACAGAGCTGGTGGGACAGGGTCTGGAGAACTCCAGAATCCCTCCCTCTATAAAAAGGAGGGAGTGACCCTGGCAGCTCTTGCCAAATTCTGAAGATTTCAGGATGATGATTTTGGAGCCCATAAACATTTCAATTTGACTCAACTTTGGTGAGTCAAATGATTAGCTTCATTCAAAATCATTTTATAAATCGTTTGAATGATTATCTCCAACCCCTTAATCCTTTCAAAGGAAAACAGCAAAAAACAAAAAGAAAAACAAAACCAGAAGTATCAACCAGCTTTTATTCAGGAAACATTTTCTTATCAAAAGGACCCATGGTTTTGACTGCTGAGAGCCACATTTTTGGTGGTTCCTGAGCACAGAAGATATCTTGACTGCCACAAACTTGAACCAATTTATCAATATGGCAACTGCTGCAGGTAAAAGATCCACATTTCTTGTTGGAAAGCAGCCTTCTATTATTCATTTATTCATTTAACACAAATATTGAGCTTCCATTTTGTGCCAGGAACTGTGACAGGCCTGTGGGAGTAACTAGGGAGCATGATGGACGAGGGCCCTGACCTCACGCTGCGGATAAGCATGTCTAAAGTTCTCTGCTCCAAGCCTGACTGTGAAGGGCTGTGATGGGCAGTGCTGCAGGCTCCTCCATTCTCTGCCTCAGCTTTCCCTGTCTCCTTCACATCCTCAGAGCATTACGCCTTAATCCCAGTGCACTGACTCAGACCTTCCCAGTTCCTCAGCAAATTACAATGGAGACAGAGAAGTAGATCATGTTTCTCAGTATTCTTCCTACTGTGCCTGGGATTAATTTAGACATGTGTGTTGCTTTTATAGTCATGGGTTTTGACCCTGGTCCTGGCTATTTCAGTGTTGCCAGTTATTCCAGGATATAGTCTTTTTTATAAATAACCTGTAGGTACCTGGGTTATTCTGATGTCTTTTCCTCCTCTTATAAAGACAATGCTGCTATTGGGTTCAGGCCTGAACATGGTGATTTTACTTAATCACAATTATTTCCTTAAAAACCTTTCCTCCATATGGCCTCCCTGGTGGTGCAGGTGGTTGAGCGTAACGCTGTGAAGCTATCCGCAGCCTCTGCAGTGCCAGTTCGATCCCCACCAGCCACAGAGCAACCCACATGCCGCAGCAGACCTCTCCTGTCTCGCCCGCTGCTCCCCTCAGCAGTGTATTTTGGTCAATCCGCCTGTTCTGTTCCCCACTCTGTCTCTGGTGAATCCTCTCACCGTCCAGCGCATCTGGCTGGTACCCTGGTTCTTGTATAAATCAAATAAATCTTTAAAAAAAAAAAAACCTTATCTCCATAGATAGTCAAGTGCATTTTTTTTTCTTCTCCCTAGCACCTTCAATTAGATAGAAGTCTCGAGTGAGTGACCCTCCACTGTTGCACATAGATAGCTATTAAATGCAGAGCTTTTGGGATCAGGCCAACGTCCAGAGTTGGTTTAAAGTCCTGTTACAATAGTGGACTCGATGAACATCAAGTATTTAAATAATATTGACTCTACTCTTTTCCTATTGCAAATCACTTGACCTTCCTGTGCCTTGGTTTCTCCACTGTAAATTGGGAATATAAATAATGCTCACCCTAGAAGTGAGGATGCAATGAGATAATACAGGCAGAGCACTGCTCACAGCAAGTGCCAAGGAGGTTAGTTTTTGCAACAGGAATTGTCTCAGTGATTCTCTGGGTGCTCCCATTCAACAACATTTACCCCCTCCAGCAACGATTTTCCAGGGTGGCAATCTACGCAGGCCATGTCCTTACTAAAAGTGAACTCTCTGCCCCTGATGAGAGAAGCTGTCAAATCCTGAAAAGAGGATTTTGCTAGCACAACTGCCTGCTACTTCCTCACTTCCCATCAGGGTCCACACCCTTTGTTTCTCTTCTCACTGCATGCCATTCCGATCAAAGCATTCTTGCCCTGCTTAT